TTTCAGAGTTCCAGCTGGTATGTGTAGGATACCTGTGTGGAAGCCTTCTGTTAAACCAGAAATAAGAAAGTCTACCAGGTGTCTAGATGGGTGTTGAGACATCAATGCAGTGAATACTGGCAAATTAATGGACGTAAGGTAAGGCTTGGAATACATTTTATTTGGACACATGGTCTTTGCATGTGCCCTAAAACATTTTGAACAGACATGCAATAGTCTACATCCACTGTAATTACAAGACCCAACATTAAAATTATTACATATCTGGGACTTGCCCAGAAACTTGATTGGGCGTCCCAATTTGTCTTTGGATAGTTTCCCTGGATCCCCAGAGGAACTAGTTCCTTGTGTGGAGGCATGTCCGTCTGCCGTGTTGGGACAAAAATTAGTAGTATGGGCTGTGGAGGAGCAGTATGCACAAGCTGGTGTTCTTAGACCTGCAAAGTGTCTGCAAAATAAGACGGTATCAATCCTTCCCCAGTTGGATCAGGTTCCGTACTGGGAGAAGGCTCCAGCCACTTTTGCAGAAAAAGACCTATGGTAGTCACAGAATGCTGAACCACCATATTTGTTGCCCAGGTCTACCAGCTTGTGCATATAGAGATCAAACTCTCTCTTCTGTTGGGATAAACCGCACTGATGACATCCCTGTAAATACCAAACGCTAGTACAAATTCTGGGATAGTCAGTTTCCTGTTCAGGCGGGCATCCCTAGATCTGACAATAACAGAAACATCATCATTATGTTCCACAATGTCCTGGGAGGCAATCAACAGGGAAGCCAGGTTGACGTCTTTACCTTCCAGGATATCCCTTTTGATATGCTCAGGTATCATGTGGGCCGGGCTAACTTCCTGGTCATCCAGGGTGCTGGCTGGAGCGACTAATGGCAAGGCTGGTGTTTGTACTGCAGCCGCGGGTGGCCCTGCTAGAGTGAGGGCCGTGGTGACCGACTCAAGTTTTTCCAGCCTGGAGTTGACCTTGCCCATGGATGCCATGAGTGAGGATAACATGGCATGTATGTCCCCTGGGATGGACTGGCTAGATCCTTCCCCGGCTTCCATGTTATTAGTTGATGTACGTAGCAGTTTGAAAAGTTCTGCCTTCCTTGCTGTAGTGGGGTAGGGGATTTGTCGTCTCCTTAGTTCGTGGTTATGCGTGGGATTGTCCAGGATCTAATTCATGCTGGACTAGCTAGCTCTCCTCAATGTGTGGGAGTGACAGCTCTAGCCGGGGTGCTAGGCAGGGAGAAATCCTCTACCCATTCCTATATAATAATTAGTATATAGAATCACCAAATTGTACTGGCAGGCTAGCTAGGCCGGATGGCGAAAGTATTATACTTGTTTGGTGACAGGTGAGGCCCTGCTAATTGTCATGCAGCTTGAGAGGCTCTATCTATGCGTTGGCGCGAGGGGTTATTGAGGCCACTTGATGTAGTGGCAGGAGTTTTAGGCCTCTCGGTGACTGTACGACAGAAAACAGGGGAAGGGAGTGACAGGTGAGGCCCTCTCTTTGCAACATGCGAGGCGGCTAGCTAACGTGTGGCCCGATGGGTGTTTGCCTCTGGAACGTTTGAGGCGGGGTGTTGGCCTCGCGGGACCACTAACTGATGGCGACAGCCAAGACGGGGTAAATACCTATTGGGAATCCTGTGACCCTATTGCCAGTACTCTAAACTAGGGGGATGAAATGAAATCTATGGTAGAATACCATATGAGCAGGTGTACGTACCTGGTAGTATGACAAATCACAGGAATAAACCGTGTGGAGCAATTATATAAGCTTGACAGCCTAAAAATGGGTAAAAGAGAGTAGTATGATGAGTGTGGAGTGTGAAAAGAAACAGACTTATAGTCTGTAGCAGCAATGTATTAAAATTATGTTGATACCATGAGAATAGCTATGAGTGGCTCAAAACTCCTGGCGTGGGAGTTCAATGATCTGTACAGAAATGTAACTGGTTTTATAGAAAGGGACATGGATGAGGTCATGGCCTATTTTACACAGCGTTATGTATGATATGTAGCAGAATAACCAAAGGCAGGGATGACCCAAAATGATTTAAAATGATGTAAAGTGATGTATATCTATATGATATATTTGTATAGAAAAGACGTATCAACCCGAGAATTATTGCCTAAATGAACCTATATCCTTTGTATGTGTTGTAGTAATAACCCAGAAGTGAGGGCTGTAACATAGGCTGAGTCCATTTGTATAAATGGATAAGTAATGCAGACCCCTAAAGCATGGGAGTCAAATGGTATATACAGAGAAGTGGACTTGATTTGTGGACGTAATACAATACTGACAATATTTAAAAGTAATCAAAATAATCTATTTAAACAAGCAATTCTTAACCGAACGTTATGTACACATGAAATGGCGAATATAATTCATGAAAGGATTATACGTGAACATACAGAAAAGCCGAAAGCAAATGTGAGGGAAACACAGAAGTTAGAATAGTTTAACCGTATGATTTATGCGAACCGAAAGCGTGTTTGAGCGTAAGTGAAAATTTGCCGAACGGCAAAACAACCGAATGATAATTCGTTTCAATATTACATGAAATAGGATACGCGAAATGACTATTGAACGATTAACTATGTTCAGCCGAATGTCCGTACGAATGAAAAAGCCTGCGAATGGCTTGAAACATTTGTGTCATAACCAGGGAAAAAGCCGTAAAGCGAGGACCCGTGCTGTACCGTACGCCGTGGGAACAGGAAGGTCTGACTTACAGTTTAGGAGTCCCTGGGACGCGATCTATGACGGAGACCGGAGTCAAAAGAAGCTGGACGTGCGGAAGGCCTGAACAGGATTCCTGGACACAGCTAACGTGGTGAAAACCTCGTGGATACTGAAACCAAGATGGCGTCTGAGAGAACCCGGAAGTGGATCCTCATTCAACGCTGACCTCGAACGGTAAGGAGCAAGGTAAGGGGAGTGCCTTAAGTAGGCTAGGGGAAGCAAACCAGCACCTCCCACAAATGCAGGCAAATTGCCTTAATACATATATATATTAATAACAAAATACAGTTAGAATGAAATTACATATGAATATATAATTTATATTAAATTTTGTTTCAATATTTTATTTATTTTATTATTTTATTTATTTATTATTGTAATTATACGTATATATATATATATATATATATATATATATATATAAATAAATTTCTATTTTATTTAATAACATGTTTAATGAATTTTTTTTTTTACTTTCCCACCAGCAGGGGGACTGTCTGACGTTTCAGACAGTCCCCGCTGGCAGTTCCACAGCCAGCTATAGGGGGGCCATATTTGCCAGAGGAGGTCTGCCTGGGCTGTTAGGCAGCCCTCCAGAAGAGGATCGCGGCGGAGGTGATTATTATTGTATTATCACTTCCCCATATTTGTGGGCATTAGTCAGAGTGAGTATTTTATCAAGGAAAATGTGTTGGTCATTATGTGGTCCGTACATGTTAACTAGAGTGTATTGGGCATTATTAATGACATATTGTAATATGAGATCTCCCTTCTTTGTCACTTACTTTCTTGATCAGCTGGAATGAGACATCCTTACTGATTAACATGGTTACCCCTCTCTTTTTTGATCTATATGTGCAATGGTATCCTATCGGGAAGTATCTGGAAGAGAATTTGGGTTGTTGTTTTTTTTAGGAAGTGTGTTTCTTGGTAGAATGCGATATGAGCATGGGCTTTCTTAGCTTTCAGAAGCTTTCTCCCTCCCAGTGTGGTCTGTGTAGAGCTTTAAATAGGTTAGGGTTACAGATCCAGGATATGTACACAACATCATGAATTTCTTGCAAGAAGTATTACATATCATCACCAGGGTATGAAAGAAAAGAAAAGGAAAGATTGAACATAAACTAAGAAGTAAACTATATATACATATATTTGGTCTACAGAAGGGGACCATGCATAACCAATACAAGTAAGCTGTAAAGCCATTGGGGGGAGGGTTTTAGCTCTACAACACACTGGATCCAATTATGCATCTATATGTGAGGTCAGCTAGGTAATTGTGTTCTGTGCAATGGGGGTTATGCAACTGTAAGAGGGTGGCTGTGCCCAGGCCTCAACGGGTATGAAGGTATACTCGTGGTATGCAGATACCAGTAACCCACCAAACCTAGACGATAATCAGCTCTCTAGGAACTGCACTACAGATTTAACAATATAACTTGAAGTAACAATTTCTTTTTGCTTTTTCCGTTGTTTTTTTTTGTGTGTGTGTGTTTTATATATATTTTTTTGTGTGTGTCTTTGGTTTTAACAGCTTAGGCATTTTTGCCCTAAATGTAGGTAGCCCATGGGCCAAGATTTAAGGAACAAAAAACAATAGTGCAGCATCTTGTCACTTAGCTGTTGCTTTCCAATCGTGTGTCAGCTCTGTTGAGGATCTGGCTGGGTGTCGAGTGTTGGCAGTAGCTGATGTCGGTTATATCAGCAGTCACCATTCCTTCAAGGTTTTCTCGCCGTCTTCCGGTGTAAGAAAGTAGTGTTCCAAGCCGTTCATCCGTACTATGAGCCGTGCAGGGAAGCCCCATTTGTGGAGTATTCCTGCCGTGCGCAATGCTTTTGTAATGGGGAGAAAGATTTTCCGCTTCGCCAAGGTAGCTGCCGAGAGATCAGCATACAGCTGGATTCCTTAGTATTGGTCTGAAAGGGTTGGTGAGGCCCTCGCTGCTTGCATTATCAACTCCTTTATGATGAAATAGTGGATCCTAGTTATTACATCTCGCGGTGTGGATTCAGGGAGATGTTTTGGTCTCGGCATTCTATGGATCCTATCTAGGTGGAATGCAGCCTCAGGTAAGCCCAGGACCAGGATCCTGAAAATGCCTGTCATGCATTGTGGGCTGATATCTTTAGTGATTCCTTTGAGGCAGACCTTGTTCCTTCTGTACTTATCCTCATGATCGGCAAGTTTCACAAATATGCTGTTTAATTTGGCATCTATGCTTTCATCAGCATCAGCCAAAGTGTTATGTGCAGAGATGATTTTTTTCTGCTTTGTTCTCCAATTGTGCCGTGCACTCCCTTAGTGCCTGTATATCTGATCCGATATCTTTAGCCAATTTGCCAAGCTCTGCTTGTAGTGGTGTTTGTAATTCGTTAGCATTTTCTGTATGGACAAATCTGTCGCTGGGATGGGTGCTTTCGTCGATATTGATGTGACATCGCTCCTGCCGGAACTCGAAGCCGGGGATGTGGGCCTTTCGGCGCCACCTTGAACGCGGCATGTCAGCGGTGTCAGGGACGTTATTTGTAAAAATATCGATTTTGGCTTTACCTTTTTCATCGATCTTTGTGCCATGGTGTTGGGTACGAGTCTTATGACCTTTATGGGCACAATTAGTAAGATCCGCTGGACAAATCACTGTATTATATAAACCTTCCCAGGGAGCCGAGCACTCACACATCCATCTCTGTGACTGGTTCTTTTAAACACTTTTTAAGTGCTCTTATAAGTCTGCATATCGGTGAAAGAATGTGCCTAGTACCTGGATTTAAGGGTATTTTTTTACTCAATATACTATATTAGGGAAAAGTAATTCTATATTTTAAAATATTATTTTTCATTTTAATTTAAAAAAATTTCTTACTTATAGATTTTTATTTTATGATATACCACATATTGTGCTATTCATGAGACAAAGTCATCAAATGACAGGGAGAGAGCATTTCTGATCTTTTATATTCCCAATTATAGGTCAATAGGGTCGCTATGCCTCTCTACCCACCTAATTTTACTGCACGAAGTAAACGGTCTCTCTATTTTTCTACTTTTGCTCTACTTAACTCCTAGTAATATCAGAAGTGTTAGGACAAAGGTTACAAGTGTGGGATGTAGATGTATAAGTTGCACATGCTGAGGTCCCTTCATTTTCATCTGTAAATACTGAACAAAAATATTCATTCAGGCAGTCAGCTAGACCTTTATCCTCTTCTACATACCTTCCTTTTTGTTTTTAATCTAATCCTTTTACTTTCCTTTTCTCATGTATGTATCTAAAAATGTTTTATCCTACCTTTTTACTGACAGTGCTATTCTCCTTTCTGTGTGTGATTTGGAGGCTCTTATAACTTGCTTTGCCTCTTTCTGCCTAATATTATAGGTCTATCTTCCTCACTCTTTCTTTTGTAAATTACCAAATGCTAACTTTTCGTTTTTTTTTTACTATTTTGGTACCACAGTGTTTTTTTTTTTTTAATTTTCTGCTCTTACTGACAAGCCTAATGGAATTAGTGTTGCTTTAAGTAGTGCAACGTTTAAATAATCCTATTTCTCCTGTACTCCATTTAAACTACTCCAGTCTGATAATGACTCATTTATGCATATTCTAAGTTTAGAAAAGTCTATTTTTCTAAAATAAAAAAAAAACTTTGTTTTTGTGTGGTGTGACTTGGTCATTTTTTATATTAAACCACATTGAATGGTGATCACTAGATCACTAAACTTTCTCCTACAGTAATATCTGATACTCTCCATTTGTTAAAACTAAATCTAGTATGCTCTCCTTATGAGTTGGCTCCTCAACAAATTGTTTTAGAGATAATCTGTCAAGACTACTATGAGATCCAACACACAAAACTATGTCTACTATGAGATCCAACACAAGAAAAAGAGACAAAACGTAAACCGGTCCTTAGAATGGCTGGGTTAATACGTTGAAAGATAGAGAATAGTCAAGGGAAAGCAGAGGTCAAGGGAACCAGAAATACATAAGGTCGATTAAAAAGCCAAGTCAGGGAAACCAGAAATTAGAATAGTCAGGAATAGCCAAAGTCAAATACAAGAACAAGAAAACGCACTCTCTGATACCAGCAATGGAAACCATGACAGGGAAATGACCTAAGGTATTCTGGGGCCTTAAATGCCTGGACCTTAGTACATCTGGAGGCTGATTGTAATGCTTCGTGCACCGAAATCCATGTGTTATGGATAGAAGCCAAACAGACGTCTAAAGCTGGAATGTTTGTGTCCGAGAAATCTGAAGGCAACAGAGTGGGGTGATGACCATTATTAACAAGAAACTGACTTAACTTAGAGGACTCGTGGGTTGCCTTGTTTCTGGCAAATTCAGCAATGGGTAAAAGTTCTGACCAGGTAGTCCGATTGGCATCAATAATGCAACATAAATAAGACTCTAAGGTTTGATTTGCTCTTTCAGCCGCCCCATTGGTTTGAAGGTGATACGAAGAGGAAAACAAAAGTTCTATGCCCAACTGTTTGCAGAAAGCATGCCAAAACCTGGATACAGATTGGGTACCTCTGTCAGAGACTATATTTTTTGGTACTCCATGTAGTCTAAAGATCTCATGTAAGAATACATGGACAAGATGCTGGGACAATGGCAGTTTTTTGAGAGGTATAAAATGTGCCATCTTGGAGAAACAGTCCACCACCATAAGGATAGTGTTATACCCTGTGACGACACCAATCTCGCCACATTGCATTGGAGAAGCCTGGTTGCTCGCCTGCTGCCTTTGGACTATGGCCCCCTGTTAAAAGACATCTTTTTTACCTGCAGAAAAGCTTCATTCGTGCTTTTCTGCCTGGGGTTCGGTAGATTTGTTTGAATGTGTTATACCCCAGATAGGAATCCCATGGAGCCCATTCGTATGAAACTGACTGTAAAGACTTTGGCTCCATGGCGATTAAACTGTATTCGTGTGGTCTGAGCGCCATTCACTTAATAATGTGCGCTCAGACCTGAGCTATCTGGGGATATGTTAAATGTATGTGTGTTATGTGTAAAAGGTGACTTTATGTATTTTAAAGTGTTTTACTGTCTTTGTGTCACCATGTGCATAATGGAGTCTTGTCCCTGTCCTGGGAGATAATTTAATTACTTCTCACTTATCTCCAGGGCAGAGGAGGGGAAGCCAGAATGCATTGTGCTAAAAGGTATGTGTATTGGGTTACCTCTCAGGATAAGGGGGAGGGAATCTGTGGGTTGTAACTAATATGCTACTGGATATTTTATACCTCCCTGTGGGCGGTCCTGTATTTGCAAGACTGTAATAAAAACCAGGCTGGGTGTGCCAGCACCTCAGACCACTGCTTGACCCTCAACACAGAGCCTGGTCTCGTTCTTGGGGGGGATTCACTGTATGCTGTTAGAGACTGATTGCCAGGAGTGTAAGCTGATTGTCTGCTTTTCCTGTTCGTCTGCTAGCAGCTATTTGGGAGGTTCCAGTTTGGATGTTTGGTGCATTCACTTGTATTCAATTCATGAGTTTTGGGTGATTCTACAGTAGCTGTGCCTGTCTCTGAAAGGGGATTATCGTCTAAGCGGTTTTTCCCCTTTTTGTGAAAAACGGTCCGTTACATACCCGTTAGATTTAGGGAGATCAACAATGAAATCCATGGCTAAGTGGGTCCACAGAGTGTTGGGTCTGGAAAGTGGCTGCAATAACCCGGAAGGTAATTTATGAACAACCTTGGACACAGCACAGATCCTACATGCTCCCACATATTCCCTGACATCACCTCTAAGTTATGACCACCAAAATGTTCTAGTGATGGCAGAGAGGGTTTTGTGTATACCAGAATGTTCAGCTGTCATGGAATAATCTAAGTATCTTAGGCCTCTCTGGTGGTGAAATAAACAGTTTATCAGATGGTTTCTGATACTGTGGTAGCTATAAGACACTCAGGGGGTATGATAAGAAAAGTCTTTTGGTCTGGTATCTCATCTGTGTCATACTGTCTGGACAGAGCATCGGCCTTACTGTTTTTGGTGTCTGGTCTGTAAGTTATAACAACATTGAAACGTGAAAGAAAAAGTGACCATCTAGCCTGTTTGGAAGACAATCTCTTAGGGTCACCAATAAAAGCTAGGTTATTATGATCAATAAAAATAAAAAGTGGCTCTTTGGAACCTTCTAAGAGATGCCTCCATTCTTTAAGAGCTAGAATAATGGCCAATAATTCCCTATTTCCGATGTTGTAGTTTCTTTCAGCAGGGGAAATTTTTTTTAGAGAAAAACCCACAGGGATGCAGAGGTTTATCAGGGTTTTCTCATTGAGACAAAATAGCTCCTACACCTGTCCTGATGCATTAACCTCCAAAATAAAAGGTTTGGTGGGATCGGGGTGTGCTAAAACGGGTGCTGAAACAAATAAAGATTTAAGCTTTTCAAATGCCTCTATTGCTTATTTTGGCCAAGTATTACTGTTAGCTCCTTTTTGGGTAAGGTTGGTAACAGGAGCAATTACAGACGAGAAGCCTTTGATAATAATTTGCAAATCCAATAAAACGTACGGCTTTAAGACCCTTGGGTAATGATCAAAACTGCTTCCAGTTTGCGTGGGTCCATCTTAAAACCAGAGGGGGATATCACATTTCCTAGAAACTGTACCTCTGGTCAAACTGGCACTTGACTTTTTCTTCAGCAGGGTTTGAAGCACAGTTTTCACATGTTCTTGATGGGTATGGAGATCTGTAGATGAGAGTGGATGAGAATATCATACAGGTACACCAACACGAACATATGAAAGTATTCTCTAAGGACATCATTAATCAGGTCTTGAAATACCGCTGGAGCATTGCACAAACCAAACGGCATAACCAGATACCCATAATGCCCCATTCTGGTATTGAACGCAGTCTTCCACTCATGCCCATCTTTGATTCTGACCAGGTTATATGCACTCCTAAGGTCGAGCTTGGTGAAAACTCTGGCACCTTTAAGCCTGTCAAATAGTTCAGAGATAAAGGGAATGGGGTAAGCGTTCTTTATTGTAATTTTATTTAAACCTCTATAATCAATGCAGGGGTGTAGGTCTCCCTCCTTCTTAGAGAGAAAGAAAAACCCAGCCCCGGCAAGAGAGGATCATCTCCATATGTGTCCTTTCGTCTGGGACTCTTTAATATAATCCTCCAAACAGATGTTTTCTTGGGGAGATAATGCGTAGACCCCTCCTTTGGGAGGCATTAGACATGGGAATTTCGTTTTGGTACAAATTTAAATTTGACGAATTTTGGCAATTTGGACATTTGGATGCTTCTGAATGTCCGAATTTCTGAAGTACAGAATCAGAAGTGCTTCGGATTTCTGAAAAGTGGCAAAACATGAGAGGGAGGGAAAATTAAGGGAATGATGACAGGAATCTAACCCGAACCCTTACCCCAACCTTTCTTTAACCCTACCCCTATCCCTTATTGCAACCTTGTCCTAACCCTAAGGTTAAGGGTAAGGTATTGCAGAAGTCCCGAATTTCGGAATTGCCGAAACGAACCAATTTTTTTGCCCATGCACATCCCTGGGAGGCATGGTTCCTGGTAAAAAGTCAATAGAACAGTCATAAGACACATGAGGTGGTAAGGTCTCTGATTGTACTTTATTAAATACCTCCTTGACTTCCAGGTACTGAGGTGGTATCTCTGTGGACAGAGGTGGTGCAGTGGGTACA